TCAAACGCGGTGGCAATCTTCGGGATTCCCTATCCCCCTCCCCCCTCCCCCTTCCCCTCGTGGAATAAGAAGGGAAGGGCGCAAAGCCGACAGAAAATTTCGAAGTCTTTGGATAAAGGTGTTCTCGAAACTCCCCTCGCCTCCCTCGCCACCCCTATCTTCCTCTATCAGTCCAAGTTGCGATTGCGGGGCTTCGAGGAAACGGAAGAGGAGGAACTTTGGACGATGTTTTCTATATTTGTCGTGGTGTTGAACTTACCGAAAGGGGGAGGGGGAGAGGCAAGTTTTCGGGAATGAAATTCTGTTGAAGACTGCAAGATCAACCGGGAGAGATCTCCGGGATTAACTCTGGACTGGATATTGACTTTGTGAAAATGCCTGATAGACATCATCTCCGTACGGATGGAGAGTTTACAGGGGAGGAGGGGGATGCTTGGATGATTTACTAGGGATTGACGTCGTCGCGTTTTATTCCCTCCCCCTCTACTCTTGGAAATGTTGTCGGGATTCAATGTTTGGCTTTCCTCCAATGGTTGAACAAAATTTGTCTGAGGACGATGGTGGTAATTTTGCGATATGTTTTTCCTTAAAAAAATTGAATTACAATGAAAAAAAGTGAATTTTGAATAATATCGTTGAAACACCAGAAATGATACTAAAATTTAAATTTATCAAAATATAAATCGCGATATGATTGATCGATAATGATGGTATTGGATTGTTTGTTTAATTTTTATTTAAAAGAATTTGAAAGCTACTGGGTTATAAAGATTATTTCGTTCGAAAAATAAAAAGTCTTATGAAAGATCAAAGAGTTGGGGACAAAGAGTTTCGAATGGATGTTTTATGCTTAAACTTCACGGACAGTTGACGCAGAAAATAAAAAAGTTTTGGTTTGAATAATGTTCGCGGGAAGGATGAAATGTTGAAAACGAGAAAATATCGCGTTGTCATGCAATCCTGACAAACTATTTAATTAACAAGATATAAGTAGAAAAGATAAGAGTTTAATGAATGCAAATAGTCTTGTAATCCTAACAATTTTCCTCTTATCTTTCCCTTTGTTCCTTAAGGAACACTGGAAATGAAGTGAAAATTTCGTCGTGTGAATAAAATCGTTACTCACACCTTTTTAATTTCTAATCAATGTTCTATGAATTTAATCTAACTGTAAATCTCCCTTGCTTCTAACTTAAGAATTAATTAATAACATTGATATAGAATTAATCCTCGTTACAAGATTAATTCTTAATTCAAGATTCTTAATTCTAAAAGTTGTAACAATATAAAAAGAAAAAAGGAAACGATGATACAATTACTCACGGACTGTCAGATTGGCAGGCTTCACGATCTTAGGGCAGACCCTGAATAGACCCAACTTGAAATGCACACTCACAGCATTGGCCAAATTATGGGATAATTGAGGAATATTCAACTTCTCTTCGGTGTGAAGCCAAGCAGGGCCCAAAAGCGCTGTGCTCAGTGCTGCAAGCGCTGCAATTCCGCATACGACACCACACCTGGTCAATCTGATACCACCAGGGCCGGCCGAGCAGCACATCTTCGTCTATAAGATTCCTCGTTCTCTTCAGGAAGACATTCTATTATCCCCAAGGAATCACCTCGCCGATCTCAACGATCCTCTCCTTTCTTTTCCACTGGAAACTTCTCCCGAACTTCGACACATTCTTATACGATTTGTCCACAAATCTATCGATATACGCTTGTCCTATTTTACCGGGATCACTGTCGCACTCAAACTTTCACGTATCCATCATCGTGTGTCCTTGGACGAAGGAATGCTGCTCTCCAACCATTCCATCGTTGGCATATTAAGCATTCTGGAAAAATACAATGAAGATTTAATTGTAATTATTTTGCATACATATTTTGCATTGCATTGTACAGTAATTTTATTAATCAAAGTTTTTGATTTTAATAATTTTCTGATAATGATATTCTAATCGAATTTGAATTTGGAAATCTTTTGAAAGAGATTGACTACTAAAATTACTAGTAAAAAAGTTATCCAATAATTTTTAATATCGAAAATAATTATCAAATCAATCTTGTTTGATGCTCGTTTCTTTTTATAAAATTCTGAGATTGTAAAAAAAGGAAAATCAACGAAACGCATAATAGTCAAAGTGTCTTATCTAATCTCGATTTTCACGTTTATACTTAGGATATTTCACTGATGATTAGTCGTGCTCGTTTGACGAAAACGAATAATCCAACTTCGATAAAGCGAGTTATCGAGGTACTGTCGAGTTTGACTTTATCGTGTTTCTCTTGGGAGTTGCAGTGACCATCACGTGCCAGCACCCCATAAGTACCATTTAATACGCAATGAGAATTTTCGGGATTCCCTGCACTGATTCCCACCAATGAAATCGCGAATAAACAATTGAATGGAGGAAAGTTTTGAAAATTTTGTCAAAGTGAAAGTAACATTCGTTCAGGATCAAATAATAAATAATTTTCTTTCACAAAGGACAAAGAGAAAAAGATTTTGATGTAATATTTATCGTTAAATAAAAATAGAAAAAGTAGAAACTCAAAATAAAAATTGAATAAAATACCAAAAGATTTAGATCTTAGAAGAATCTATATTCTTAAATATAGGATTTTAAAATATTCTAAAAGAAAATCAAGATAAAAAAGAAATTAAATTAATTGAAGACTAAGACTTTATGAACAAAATTAGAATAAAAATTGAATTTGAATGAAAATATCAAAGATTTAGTTTTTGAAATTTAGGATTGCAAATACAAACTAAGTTATAAATTCCAAGATCTAATTCTTCAAACTATTCTAAAATTACAATTAAATAAAATTTAAATTAAAATATCAAAAATATCTAACTCCTAGAACCATACATCTTTCTCAAATAATAAAATAACTGAAAATCATTTTTCCAAATAAAGATATCTCTACAACAAACATTAGAATTCATTTCCTAACATCCGACAGCCGCATTTCATTGGAATCGGTCGCTCTTACAAAAAGAAAAAAGAAAGAAAGAAAGAAAGAAAGAAAAAAAGAAAAAAGTAAAGTAAAACTGATCGATGCCAGAGCACTGATGGGACACGGCCGTTCATCGTTTTCGAAACTGGCATTTGGTTGAACAAAGAATAGTGCCAGCCAGTTGTTTACCGGATCAGAAACGTCACTGAGCTAGTTTTATCGATGCTGGTGTCGGAATACCGGATGTTCCAACACGGACGCGTACGGAATTCGTTGACTGCGAAACAGATCAGACCGACAACGATCTGGCTAGATACGAAAAGGGGGAAAAAAAGCAGAGATGAAAAACCACGGCGTGAATTTGTTTTAAATGGCCAGCGGCGCTAACGATCATGGCCGACCACTTTATGGATGACATATGCACGCCAGATTTCATTCGATTCTTATGTTTTCCAGAGGGGGATCCAATTAAAATAATCTGCAAATTATCCTGCTCGCGTTCCAACTCTTTCTTTTTGACGCGAAATTCAAAAACGAGAGAAACTGATGAAATTTTTTGAGATTAACGATCGAATGATAAATTAATTTTGATAATTGAATTGAATTAAATAATTCTGAAGTTAGATAATATTTTTTTAAAATGTCCATGTTGTTAATACTCTGTTATTCTATTAAATTATTATTATTTTTCGAGCAGTATAATTATTTCAGAAAAATGAAATGAGCGTTTAAAAATTTATATTCGAATCGTAGATGTGAAATTTCTATCTATACTTTTATGAATGTGGAATAAAGTTTCATATATACTTTTTTCTTTTAGTAATACCCATTACTTGCACCATAATTCTTGTTTCTCAAATTCCTTTAATTAATGCCTGTAATAATCCCAGTCCCCTGATGTATTAACCCACATTACTCCCACGTATATAAAGTTATATTTTACTCTGAAAAACTAATTTTCAGATTCCATTCGTAAACTACGTTAATCATTTATTTATAATAAATAATTGTGTATTATACTACTAAGAAATATATCATGATTTTATTTTACAATAACAATTCAAAGAAATAAAATAATAAATGATCAAATAAATAAATGATTAAATCGTAACTGATTAAATTAAAAAAGTGTGTCCCTTTAAGAAAAATATTTCTCAACAACAATCTACATCTACAGCTTACTAAATATATACAAATGATACACGAGCAAAGTATCGAAAATCCTAGGATTCCTCCATCTTCTCCTCATCGAATATGGCAGAGATA